TATATATATAATAATATTTTTTTATAAAAAAAAACACAGCAGGTAAGGCCAAATTCTCAACAAGCGGTGACGGAAAAAGGGGGTGGGGAGAATTTATTCCCCATTGGGATATTATAGTTATTTAAAATATCTACACATTGATGTCTTTGAACAATTGCGCAGATTATAATCTGTTTCTGAATATAAGTTTATCCTTCCGATTTAGGGTTGATTCTTGGGATTTCTAAAATTAACAACTATAATTCCATTTTTTTTTAATTCCATAGACCTATTTTGGGTAGCACTTTCTATCGCCGTTGGTCTTCCTCACCACTCCCCCCTTCTTCCTTCATATAAAATGCTAAATGTAAAAAATTATAAAAGTCCGAATTTGAATAGGAAAATTGTGTTACTTTTTAATTATTCATATAAAAGACATTCCTTATTTTTGCTCCGGGTTCAGCCCCTTTACTCTGGATATTACTCATGCCCCCTAAGGGGGCGTGAGTGATTTCCAAAAGAGGCGGGGGAGGGTGGGGGGTGATTCAGTGGTTCTTAACATGTATCACAGCGGTTAAGAACCGGTGAGATACAGCGTTCTAGTGTCTTTGTCCACACGCTTTACATTTAATTTGATTAACATCTCCACAGAAGATGAAATGTACTGATAGTCTAGTTTTTAGTCTAGTGGTAACAACTTGTACTCTACTAATTGTTATTGTTTTTCCGTACACCGTTTTTTGGGGACACATTTCATTGTGAAACAATGGATCTGCCATTTCATATCTGTACTTCTCGATTTTCTACTTATTCATTTGCAATTTTTTTCTAACAAGAGCTTGCAACCTGTGTAACAATTAAACTTTATTTAATATTAGTTTAACCAAGGTAATATTATCTTTATTAGGGTCATAAACACTGGACTAAAAAACTTATCTAAAAATGCAGAAGTGTTCATCACTACCTGTAAACCGTGTACGTGTAAAAATGTATCTTACCAGTGGTGGCCAAGAGGTTCTTGTAGGTGACCCAGAGGCTGTAGTCAGTAGCTTGCCAACCTAGTACGTGACGCGTGAAGGCGAACACATAGGGAGCTGAAGGACAGGATACATGGTCATTATTATTATTATTATAATCAAGGGGGAAGCGCTAAACCTGGAGGATTATACAGCGCCTGTGGGGGGGGATGTGGAAGGCATTCAGGCTTAATTCGGGGAACTGGAGCACAGATCCAATTCCCTAAATCAAGAGCCCCTCACCAACATCAAGGAACCTTCCTTGAGGGGTGGATACATGGTCAGCAAATTTCAGTGTATAACTTTAACAAATATGGTGATTGCTGTACTAAAAATAATAATTACTATAAATAATTAATATTTTTTTTATAATGTTCACATTAGTACTTCTTTCTTGAGGTTAAAATTCCTTATATGAATGTTAGAACTTACATCGAGTAACTCTTCTGAGGAGGCTGGTGAAGATGAGAATAAGAATAAGAGCTCTTTTATTTCCCTCGCGTTTCCTCAGCGTTGACTTGAAGCTGTCTAGGATACGGCTCGGGTTAAAAAAGTCCTTAACCATGATATAGAGAGTTGGGCGGGTGTGTTGAAGGGCGTTGGAGGGTGCCGCATTGGCCTCCAGGCATTTCGCTGCCGCTACACTCTCTCGCAGTTCCGCTTGTGACTTGTGATTTGGGGATTCGGCACTGGAACTCTTGGCGAAAGGTCCATGGCTCTCTGGAATCCACACCACCACGTACACCAGCGCCATTAAGGAGAGCGTGAGGGAGGCGGCGAAAAGTGGTAGGTACCCGCCCCAGCTGTAGATAAAAGTACCCATCAGTGTGCCCACCGGACCACCCAGGAACCAGATGCTGTTGGCCAGTCCTACTCTTGATGTACGTGACTTTTCCGAGGACACGTCACCAATGTATGAGTTCGCTGCCGTCAAGAATGACACGCAGCCGCCACCTAGTGTGTCTAGTAACGTGACGACAAGTAACACTTCGGCAGGCCAAGAAGGTACCAAAGTGACCAACAAGTAGCCGGTAGCGTGGAGTGCGTGACCCAGTTGTACTGCTATCAGAGGCACCTTCCTGCCATACTTATCACTCCAGGCGCCCATGAAGAGAATGAAGAAGAGTGGTACTGCTGCTGCGATGATACCGTTATAAAGAGCAAACACACTGTACCTTTGCTGTACCTCTACACTGGCTGCTGGTTCTGACTTCAGATTGTCGCACACTTGTTGGGAAAAACCGCTGCTCACTCGACACACTCGATCCATCTGTAAGTTCTCTATATATACGATCATGTTAGAGAAAGCAAGACCGTGAAGTAGCATAAGAGGCTCCACAGTCACGTTATTCATCACGCCCATCACTCGTGACCAAGTATTTTTAACATTTTTGTTACATCCTTCCATTATGCGTAAATGGCTGCTAAACTATGTATCTTTATTCCGCGTCTCGTGACGACCATCAATTTCAACTCTCCAATTACATAGATATAATTTAATTCGC